GATGACCCCCCTCTGGTCTGCTGTGTGGTACTCCCAGCCCGACGAATAATCCACAGAGCTACGTTTGCCCTCCCCGAGGGGTCAGAGCCCGCTTTCCCGCTACCCTCACGCGCTTTCTTCTTCTTTCTTTCTGTATTAAGCTCAATCTTACTGTTACTAAACCCAAAAGCTCCTCCGCATCACACCAGCAGCAGGATTAGGGGGCCGGCCCGTCAGTGTAGTCAAACCCTTTGAAAGGTTTTAGCTAAGACTGTACATCTGTCTGATGCATTTGGGTATGTAAGAGAATGTTGTTTATTGAAGGTATTTGACATAAATCAATGTACTTGTTTCACATTTAAATGTCTTGAAATCGTGTGTTCTGCAGGTTAGCTGAAATGCTGCAGCTGGTAAAAACGAGCCAACCACATCTTGACAAGGTGAAGATGACTTGCTTTATGACATTTTGAATTGGCATATAGGAAAAAACTATCCAGCTTCGCTTTCTACAAGGAGGTTTGTTTAAACTAGGAGCTTCGTTTAATGTTAAATGTTCCTCCTATCCTTGAACCAAACTCTCCATAGGAGCTCTTATCATTGGATGGGTCACTTTCCCGCATCCACCCAGTCGGTCCCACCCTCCCCCTTCAGAGCCAAACTTCACTGCTCTTTTCATGTAAATGAGAGCCCTGTTTTCTCTTGTTATTCCAAAGGAAAAAAGGAAGTGTAACTTTGTGTAACTTTTAGCACAGACAAACAATGGTTTAAGTATCTGTAAAGGGCCCATGTAACACCCCAGAGAACTACAGCAGAATGGGCGCTAAAGCAGTGTAAGTGTTTAAGACCGAGGGGAAATTCATTCAAGTGTTGTACTGATGCCGTTTAAGATTTTAAAGGCTTTACTAGAAACAGAAATTATTCAAATCCCTTATAAATTTCTGCTGCTGATTTTGTTGCCTTTTGTGGCATAAAATCCTCTTGATAGCACAACAAATGCAGCAATCTTACACTACCGTTCAAACTTTAAAAAAATAAATTAATACTTTTATTCATCAAGGATGCATTAAATTGATCAAAAGTGACCGTAAAGACATTCATAATGTTACAAAAAGATTTTTATTTCAAATAAATGCTGTTCTTTTAAACCTTCCATTCATCAAAAAATCCTGGGAAAAAATTGCATCACAGCACAACTGTTTTTACATTGATGATAATTATCAGCAAATCAGCATATTCGAATATTTCTGAAGGATCATGTGACACTGAAGACTGGAGTAATGATGCTGAAAATTCAGCTTTGATGATCACAGGAATAAATTACATTTTAAAATACATTCAAACAGAAAACGGTTCATTTCAATTGTAATAATATTTCACAATATAATTTCACAATATATTTGTTTTTACTGGCGTCCACTCCAGAGTTTTGAATGAAATTGTACAGTACATTTGTAATTTCACATAACTCGTTTGAAAATGTTTGTGATGGGACAAATGTTTAATGTTTGGGTTACGTATTTGCTTTATTTCAGAGTATGCTGACTGTAACATTTGAAGTACCTGGCAGTGTGTCAGAAGACCTATTAAATATATTCATTCAGGTACAAATACATCATATGGAAGCATATAAATAAAACAAAATTAAATATTTACTCCATAACAAAATGTCTTGAAATTTTTTAGAGAAATAAAAAAAAAACATTTTTTTCTGTAGAACCTCCTATGGGAGAAGATATTTAAGAACAAAGCAGGATTGGCAATGACAGTTATCCGGTTAAAGGTTAGGGTTCTTTCTCAATTCTTTCATTATGTAAGCCACCGAAATGCCAAATAATCATGACTTCTGTGAAGAAGCTTTGCCCTCAACAATGTACAAGAACTATAATATTCATCAAATCTGTTCTCAGTGTAAATGATGTGTGTTGTGGCAGGGGATCTTCTCCATCCAGCAAAAACAGAAGAAGGTGATGTTGCAGGGGGTCCATGAGCTTTATGAGCTGGAAGAGACTCCAGAGTTCTGGGCAGATCACGAGCCGAGACTCAACCAACTCGTCTTCATAGGTGAGAACCTACTGTATGAAGACCGTCTGCAAGTGCTTCCAGATATTAAGATGCAATGCCTATATAGAACTCTTTGTAAAATGCTAAATGATTAATCTACCTGTTGTAGATTAAATGTAAAAAATGTAACATTTACTCTCTTTTTTTTCTTCAGGTCGAAATCTTGATGGCGAGATTCTGAAGAAAGAGTTCATTTCGGCCATGTCAAAGCGTGGAGTAGATGATGTCTGACTGAAGTTGTGGACAATCTACCAGGCCATGTATAGAAACCATACAACACAAATAACCTCTATCTCATAACAAGACATCTGTGGAATCACTGGAAAATGCAGCTGTTTCTGTTTGCAACCCACAGGGAGTTTGCAAATCCTGCAGCAGCTTAATAGGTGCTTATCATGCTCCATAATGTTTTAAATGAACAAAGTGTTCAAATCTGACACTTAAAAATCCTTTAAATACATCTCTATGCCACACTTCAAACCAGTAAAATTCACTGACATGTCTTAAACACATTGTAATTTATTTCACATTTACATCATTTTTCTCCAAATACATGTCTGAAAATGCGTTATATTTTGGAACTAGCGAAAAGCCAGTCTTTATTTTAAGAGTATGACGTTATTTAAACAATTCATCTTGGTGATCAATTACTAATCATTTTACGTAGGCTTTTTCACAGTGTAAAGTGTAAAATAACAGTAACCAGTAAAATAAATGTAGTCTTGAGTTACATGGCTTGCTCTTCTAACGTGTTAAATTTGTCTTTTTTCAATGTGAGAACCATCTTTATAAGCACCCACTTAACACTTTCTGTGATGAGGCGAAAAATGGCTATTTAACAAACATTGGGAAAATTGGTTGGTAGAGGTTATTTTTGGTTAAGTGTGGAACACACATTATGATAACTAAGCAAAAGAAAGCTAGCCTAGAAATCTAGACGCACCCTAGCGGCAGCGAAAATTATTTTGCAGCCAGTGTAACATCTTGACGTAGGTCTGGCATGCCAGGCTAAAAGAAAGCTTAATGAACTTATAAATGTATACATTGAATGTAAGCCGCTTTGGATGAAACATGCACTGTAAAAAATTATATGATTAATAAGTTATGACAACATGTGTTTTTACATTGCTTTAACTCATCAAAATAAGTTAAGCAATTTTCAACTTTTTTTTATAAGTTATACAAGATTCAACTAATTGTTTAGCTGCAAAGTCAGTTTAATGTAATTTAAGTTGAAATGACTTAAACATCCAAGTAGATTGTACTTAAAATTTTAAGGAAGCAACTTTTTTTTTTTACAGTGCCACAAATGTCATTATTGCTTCACTAATGCATGCTGCTCTAATGTTATATATTATAACATAATTTAGTGATGTGCTAGAAACTACAGTAAGAATATTTTAATACATTTTATCACACTATAAATTATTTGCTGATTTTTTTTTTCACACTTTGTGTTATTAGAAACCTTAATGTTCAGTACATCCACTATAAGATCAGTCTATGTCTTTGGATTTCTTATCAATGACAATGAGTGCTGTAAATAGTTAGTTTACACAACTTTCAAGTACTCATACATTTACATGCATCCACTTCCACACCATCCACAGCTGAGGAAGTGGACGGTGGGCTCCAACCCTTTCATTTGCAATTGAGATGACTGTGAACAGTTTTAACACATATCCGCGCACAAGAAGGTTTGCTTTGAGGATTGCTGCGTTCATTCATGCCCTCCAATAAAACTCGCTCCTGGCCTGTAGCCTAAAGCTGCGCCGTTTCCTTTTTGATTCTGATGTTGATAGGCTCGTTTACCGGCATTCTTCTTTCAATGCGGGGAGCCGGGCCATGGCCATTTTCATGGTCACACCACCTGCGGGTATCTTGAGGTGACAAACCAAACGAAACCCAGGGGGTATCGGGGGAAAATCAGTCTTTTAAACCGGTAGTTAGGCGTGGTGTGAAAATTCACCCTCACACAACCCAGCTCCCACTGCGCAAACTTGCTTCTGAATCGGAGAGGAATCCAAAAAGATCGAAAAACGTGTGCTGACGTAGCCCAAAATGTTCAATGACGTTATGCTCTTTTTTTTGGTGCGGATTTAAAACACAATTGGTAAAAAAACGTTGAAATCACGATTTGTATAATAAGCATATTTCATTAGTTGAATTACAATTCGCGATAGGCTACTTTTGTTTGATGTTTGAAATGCGCTTAAAGAGCAATGCCAATTTGGTTCTTAAATTTGGACTTAAATTAGGCCTATATCTTATCATAAGACAATGTATTAAAATAAGGATTTTTTTGTTTGTTTTAAGCATTGTTAAGTTTAAAAACAAAGTAATTGTGGCATAACTAAGAAAATAATTTTGATGTAACATGAAATCTATAAAACGAGGCTCAACTTAAAAACCTTTAGGCCAAACAACGAAAAAAAATAGGATGTTAAAATAATACATTAATATTAAAATATATAGGCTATTGCATATATGTTTGAAAATAATTGTTATTTTCTATTTTTATTTATTTATTTACTCGTGACATTTAAAAAAATAGCCTATAAGCGTTTGTTTCTTTCCATATGTGTTGGTATAGGCTATATGCATTTTAAAGATCCATTATTTGTAAGTGCATTTAATAGGCCTAATCAATTTAATATTTCAATACTTAAGAATAAATATTTAAATATTAAGGATAAAACTGTATTGAAAAAAAAAAAAAACGAATTAAAGTTGGTCATATAAAAGTAATTAATAATATGGCCAATAATACACTTTTCTTGCAGTAGCCAACACCTATCAGTACAGATGCTCTAATAGGATGTTTAGGATCCACATCTCATATGCGAATTGTTTAAACGGGTCAAAGCCCCCCACACCTGCCTGCCTGTCCTGAATCCCTGCGGTGACACTCTACTCCTATTGGTCTGACCCTCGGCGGACCAAAGACAGAATGCGTGTGGCCTCTCATAAATAGCCCTCATTTCTTTGAGTCCTGCAATCCGACCACAACCTTCACCAATCACGAGTCGCGTCCAGCACATTTGGGGTCTCCAACAATGACCCTTACCCAGGATTACGAAGAAGTGCCGTGTACCCCCGTCTCGTTTGAAGACGATGAAATAAACATCGTTGGAGGAGACCACAGTGATAGCGACCGAGAGTATTTCATCATGCCCTGCAGGGACCCCGATCACTCAGGGTCCGAGTCTTCAGGAGAGAGCGAGAGCAGCTTCTCCACCGCGTCCGCTCCAAAGCAAACCTCCTCCGTCAAGCCTCCGTATTCCTACATCGCCCTCATAACCATGGCCATCCTCCAGAGCCCGATGAAGAAACTCACCCTCAGCGGCATCTGCGACTTCATCAGCAACAAGTTTCCCTACTACAAGGAGAAGTTCCCAGCGTGGCAGAACTCCATCAGACACAACTTATCACTCAACGACTGCTTCATCAAGATCCCGCGAGAACCTGGGAACCCGGGGAAAGGGAACTACTGGTCCCTGGACCCTGCGTCTGAGGACATGTTTGACAACGGCAGCTTTCTGCGCAGAAGAAAAAGATTCAAGAGGAACCAACCCGAGTTCACCAAAGACAACCTGGTGCTCTACCACCACCCAACGTTAAGTTATCGAGCATATGGGCGACCTTACTGCGTTTCTGGGCCTGTGCCAGCCCAGGCTAATCCTATTGGATATTTGCCAGTGCCGGATGGCATCATGGTGCCCCCTCCATATTTCCAGTATCAGACTCTCAATATTAAGGTCCACGAAGCTCCAGAAATCCAGCAAAGGCCCGAGCCCAAGACCCAGAAGTGTTCGTTCAGCATTGACAGCATCATGGCTAAATCAACGGCGTTTCCTCACAAAAACTCTCCCCATCATCTCACACCTGACTACAGTTATGCTTTTCCCAGGCCAACATCATGTGTGACTCCAAGTTTGGTACCTGTGCCACCAAGGACCCCTCTGCTCAAGACTGTTCCTTTCACAGAAACTCTGCGGATGGTGTATCCTCACTGTTGAACTGTCTGGGGGAAAAGAACTCTTGTCATTTTAAATATGCTTGTAACATAAGATATTTCTGTCATTCCTCTTATATGATAGTTTTAATGTAAATAAATAAATGGTAATATATTTGCTAGTCCTGGAAAGTGGATGTATTAAATGCCTGTTTAAATAAACCATCATTGTCACATTTCAGTTTTGTGTTCTCATTATTCGTAGTTCTCCGGTTGCAATTATCTTGTCAAAGTTTTCAGAATTAAATGAAATAGCCAAATTGGGGGGGTGCGTAGGGCAATTTAGCCTATACTGCAATTCTTAAAGAGCTGCATGAATGAATGCGCGTTCAATACTCGTGTTACAGCGCGCATAATATTCCCCTCTGTCAATGCTTGCAAGACATTTTCTATCATGTTATGTCCACTAGATGGAGACTGAAGCTCGTGAAATCAGTCGCACTCAATGCATTGATTTCACAAGCATTCCCCAGTTGAGACGGATGTGCTTGATCGATTATTTCCATTGAAGTTTGGACACATTACTATTTTTAATGTTTTTGAAAGAAGTCCAGGCTATATGCTCAACAAACCTGAATTTATTTGTTCAAAAATACAGGGAAAAAAACAGTAATATTGGGAAATATTATCACAATTTAAAATAATGGTTTTGTATTTTAATATAGCCTACTTTGAAATATAATTTATTTCTGTGATGTACATCTGAATTTTCATCAGCTATTACTCACATGAGTGTCACATGATGACTCTTCAGAAATCATTCTAATGCTGATTTGGTTCTCATTTATCAATGTTGGAAACAGTTGTGCTGCTTGGGCCTAATATATTTTTGGAACCTGTAATAATTTCTCAGGATTCATTAATGAATAAAAACTTTTTGAAAACAGCATTTATTCAAAATAGAAATATTTTCTAACAGTATAAATCTTAACTATCACTTTTTATCAAATTTGCTGAATAAAAATATACATTTCTTTCAAAAAATTTAAGAAAAAAAATTGGCCTACTGACCCCAAACTTTTGAACGGTATAGTGTGTATTGTTACAAAATATTTCTATTTTAAATAAACACTGTTCTTTTTTTAACTTTTTACCGGTACTGTATATAGTTATAACTTTGTCTATTAGCCTAATGCATTTTCAGCACAAACAAACAGTTGTCACACTTTTCACTTCGTATATTTATCACGGTATGTTTATTTTGAATTTCTGCGTGAATAGGCTTTCGTGCCTTAACTATTATGAAACAAAATATGATAATGCAAAAGGTAGCCTACACAAAATATCAAACCATTGTTTTGGCCAACAACATAAAATGTAATTAAATATGAAACACACGTGACAACATGCCCCATCCTGACTTTTATGAAAAATATCCATGTATCCCCAGAACACATTTTAACAAACCTTTAAAATGCCTAAAGTTGACTGTTGTTTGAATGTATTTCAGTGTGGAGCTACGAAATATGATACAGAAGTTTATTCTTAAGTAGGCCGGAGTTCACAAAATTATTGTAATCTAAAAAAATTTTTTATTTTTTTTATTAGACGTTTGAAACTCATTGCTATAGAAAACATAACTGGACTTTTGACTCAAACATTTAGGCCTACTGAGAAACAGCTCTTGTCCCAACTAGCCCCGCTCTCCCATATCTGTTTTGGCATTGGAAACTTTGGTCAGTTTATTTCTCTCTCATTCCTTTCTGTCTTCGTGTTTAATGTTATTACATTTTATGAATGTTATGATGACATTCTGCATTTGATCCAGTGCGTCAGGTGAGAACTGCTGTCCATCTGAGCGCTTCTTGTGGCTCCATTGCGCCACGGACAGTAGAAGCGTCCGATTACACAGCAGCACACTGTCACTATCCCCCCACACATCATGGGCTATTTTTGGCCAGTGCGTTAGCTCATTATATAGAGTTTTCTTCTACCCTCCCTGCCTTTTGGCAAGCAAACGTGCGCGTGACAGTTCGGGAGAAGAGTGTCGGTGAGCGTAAGACCTTATCTTGGAATCTTTCTTTGCCCTTTCACCCATTTATTCTGTATTTTGTGCCACTATACCACGGTTTGTCCCGGTGCGATGAGAAGACAGCTGCTGTACACTAGTTTTCCAAAGAAGCGTCACGGGACGCGTCTCAAATAATCCACTCCGACTGAAGCGCACTGCTCGCTGCCTCCGTGAACGGCTTCTTGTTGACGATATTTAGAACATTGTTTCACACCTCATTACATTTTTACGGTCCCAAAGCGTTGCAGAAGATCATGGAGACTAACCCTATACCCATTTTGACTATCCAAACGACCCCCTTTGACGACCAGAGACCAGGGACAAATGGACTGCGAAAGAAGACAGCTGTTTTCGAAAGTAAAAAGAACTATCTTCAAAATTACATCCAAAGTGTGCTGTCCTCCATCGACTTGAGGGACCGTCAGGGATGCACTATGGTGGTGGGCAGCGATGGAAGATACTTCAGCCGGGCTGCAACTGAAGTCATCGTTCAAATGGCAGCTGCCAACGGGGTAAGTGATGGTGTTTATACTTTTTCAAAGTCAAATAAAAATCTCATGCATGTTTTTCTAGTTCACTATTTTAACATTTTACAATTATAATTATTTATTGTCTATGATAGATTTCTAGTCTTAGTCTAAAAAATGCATAATTTATTTATTATTTCCCACTAAACGTGATAGATTTTGTTGTAGGCCTATATTAAAAGTGCATTTATTCATTTTTAAATATAATTATATTAGTATATATAATAAAAATGCATTGTTTATTTATTTATGTTTTCTGATCTATATCATCAAAACGGTAACAACATCAGTTTATTGAAGCTTATTAATTTATTTGTTTATACATGTTATAGATGTTCTGTCTATATAATAAAAATGCAATGCATTGTTTTATTTATTATTTATTAGGTTGTCTGACTTGTATTGACTTATCCTCAAAAAGTAACATCAGTTAGATTAATTAAAGCCAATTAATTAATTTATTGATACATATTTTGTAGTCTATATAATAAAATGCATTGTTTGTTTGTTTGTTCATTTATTTCCTAATAAACTTTATAGATTTTGTAGTCTATCTAATAAAAAATTGTTATTTTTTCTGATCTATATCACCAAAAAGGTATCAGTTAGATTAATGAAAGGCCATTTATTTATTTATAGATTCTCTGATTTATATAATCAAAATTAATTTACTCTTTTTTTTTACCAATTGGTATAATTATTATTATCTTCGTTGTTATATTTGATTATTATCATTTCAAGTGTCTTTGAAAAATGTATCATGATTTGTTGTATGTCTGTTGGACATGTTAGTTTTATGATTCAGTATTACATGACTTTTGGTATCCCAAACTGAGATGCACGTCTTGTTGGAAAACCCTTAAAAGCAACTAAATGAGTATGAAAGAAAGTTCAGAATGAGTTAAATCTCTTTCCTGGCCTGGCCAAATGTATCCTGTCTTATCTGTTATGCCGTCCCTCATCTGCACACTCTTCCTGGAGAGCCGCTGTTTCCCTTGTTTTGACCTCATGTTCATGTCAACTACAGGGAAACCCAGAACATATGGCCACCAGCCAAGATGCTTCATCAACTTTGTCCATAAACCTTTATGGCATATTTTATTGTGCCTCTAATGAAGATGTAAAGTTTAGTTCAGTCGGAGCATAAAGCCTGAAGTCACTGTTTTGATGCTCTAAATACTGTTATTCCATTTATATTATACAATACAGCCACATAATTCCTCCCTCCTTTGGTCTCTTTCTTTGTATCAGTGACATTCTTCCATACAAACTTGGTAGCTCTCAGAGACATGATATACAGACACTGTGTATCCAAAAGCAGCACCTTATATGGATAAGCTGTTCAAAGAGTGCTGGGAATACAGTTCACACTCACTGAGCTTCAACTAAGAGATGCATGTAAAAGCAACGGGATAAGCAAAGCATCAGTGAGGTATTTCATTAGCATATTACACAAAAAAAGACTAGGGTCAGTGCACTTGCTCATCATTATAAATGCTTGAGTGAGAGATGCCAAATACCTCACTATTAATAGAAAGTGGCTGATCTTGTAAAGCTTAATGAGTCACAAAGTTGCTGAGATGTCTGGTCTGCTGTCTTGTGAGCTAGAAAGTCTGAAACAAGCAGTATCTGTCAATATTTAGAGCGCTTGACAAGTGAGGTTGCAATTTATGGAAGCTAGGATTGTATGTCAGGTCTGCTTTGAATGCTTAGGTATTGTTAGCCTGTATTTCAAGTAAAGAACCCTGTACACGTCTGTTTAGTTATGTCACTGAGTCAGCTCGTCAATCCCACAGGAATGAGCTATACCAGACAGATGTAGTTGTTGATCTGGTATGCAGTAGTAGCCATGACTGGCGCCTCGGAAGGGTGCAGGTTTAAAGCCCACCACATAATGTTATGATGACCCCTGGTGAAGGTCTGGAAGCAAAGAGGCTATTCAGGATCTAAAGTGCACATTTACATTTGTCATTTCAAAAACGAATGACTTTCGTTCTTTTGTGAAACACAAAAGAAGTTATTTTGAAAAATGTTTAAATGTTTTTGTTCTTACAATTAAAGTCAGTGGAGTCTAAAACAACATTGGACTTATATGTAAAATGTATGAAAAAAAGTTTTACATTTACTCATATTCATATTATCTTTCCTCAATTAACCTAAAATAATATTTACTTATTTTGTCATGTACGTTGTTTTTATAATCTACAGGGGGGAAAATGCAAAAAATTTACTTTTAGATGAACAACAGGTTGATATATAAGGATATATATTACTACTCCAAGATACTAATATGCACATTTTAGGGCCAGTATCTAAAGTATTTAACATTTTTACACTTGACTTCTGTAAACCCAAAAGGCAAAAAAAAAATGTTTATTGTTTTTTTCCTACAGTGAGAGTCCAAACCAACATTGGACTCCATTGACTTTCAATGCATGGAAAAAAACTGAGATAAATCAACCTTGACACCACTGAAACCAAAACTTCAATTTCAGATAGGACGTCTAGTCATTGGACAGAACGGGATCCTGTCCACCCCAGCAGTCTCCTGCATCATCAGGAAGATAAAAGCCAGTGGTGGGATCATTCTCACTGCAAGCCACAGTCCAGGAGGCCCAGGAGGAGACTTTGGGATCAAATTCAGTGTCGCTAATGGAGGTGAGAGCATTACAAAGCATATTGAAACACCCTGCATAAGAGCACCTTCAGAATGATAATGATACTTTCAATATGTAATATTATAATATCAGCCTCTAAGGAAATCGCTGTGCCAATAATGTCATGACATCAGCTTAACGTTACCTTTCTCTAAGCTGTCGTGAACAACTATTTACAGAAAACACGGTAAAATATATTCTATGGACATGTATTGTAATATCTATGGACCTAAATTTACCTAAAATATATACAGTAGCTTACCTTAAAGGTGCCCTAGAATGTTTTTTTTTTATTATTTTATAATGTTTCCTGGGTTACCCTTATAATGTTAGTATGTTTTTTAGATAAAAAATAATCATAATTTAGAAATAAATGGCATTTTTCCTAGCCTGCTTTTAGCCTCTGATTTGAACACTCTGTTTGAAGGGGCGTGTCTGCTGTGGGATTCAGTGTAACCGCGGCCACTGCTGTGATTGGCTGACATGCTTGCATATGAAATAGCAACGCATTACATGTGAAACTCTCTCCCGAATACTTTTACTACTGCTATTATACGTTTTTACTATAACAGCTATCGAGATTAACGAATCGTGAGATGTTTTTAAAGTATTTAGATCTATTCCCATCACATAAAATGTTGCCGTGATGAGCATTGAGCAGATGACAGTCTGTTGATCGCGAGAATGAAGATCTAATCATTGCAAAGCAGTTTCTGCACTCTCTCTGCTTTCACCAATGCAAACACGATGATGTAAATACAGTAAGAGCTTCGTTGTGCAGTAACGTGCGTCATTGATTTCATAACGTGTTTGGCAAGTGTCCAGATAAACTCGCGCTGTGTGGAAAGATTGTTCTTTGATCGCTTTCTGTATATAATTTGTTCACAAATTAAATACGATTATTTTCATCCTACTAAAAGAAACGATGTGAAGCTGATATTTTAGTCACTGGCTTGACTTACTGATGCATAAACAGTATTGAACGATTTTGAGAGAAAGATTACCTGTCTGAACTTGAACAATTACACATCAGAAAGTGTTGCTTGGTAGCTCGATCCGAGGCCAGCTCTGTATTGGCCCAAGTTGAGGAAACACTCGGTGAAATGTTTGGAAATTTCCAGAGAAAATAAAATTAACCCATTGTTTCTTCAGAGGCCCAGATGAAGGAACTAAAAAATACTTTTGTGTTCATGTGTACATCCACACTGAGCAACTGCCATGCTTCGGCTACGCAGTTCCACCTGGCATTGAGGGCTGGCATTATGCAAATATTTGGAGGCGTACATATTAATGATCCCGACTATTGCGTCACAGTCGGTATTGTGTGGAGAACCGACCGTTTTTCAGGGGTGTTTTTCATAAACTTGAATTAAATGAGAACGCGAAAACAGTCCAGTTTGAGATTCACTCTATGTCATGTCCATGCACTGAACTCTTGTTATTTGACTATACCAAGGTAAATTCAATTTTGAACTATAGGTCACCTTTAAATTTATTTTTGCTTTTACTTACACCATTATTATAATGAGATTTTTTTTTAATCATGCATATATGCATATTCCCGTTCAAAAGTTTTGGTCTATAAGATTTTTTAATGTTTTAAGTCTCTTATGCTCACCAAGGCTGCATTTAATCAAAAATACCAACACATTCTCATCCCAAGGCGTCATCTAACTGACACTTTTGACCATGCGTCAACATGCCGACGCACATGGTACCCCTTAAGCGTCAATATGAGACGCTCATCCTCGGGCGTCATCTAACTGACACTTTTGACCATGCGTCTAAATCCGACGCACATGGCACCCTTTAGCGTCAGTTAGATGACGCTTCCGTTATGGGTAGGTTTAGGTTTGGGGTAGGGTTAGGGTTAGACCACTAGGAGGCGCGTCTCATATTGACGCTTAAGGGGTACCATGTGCGTCGGCATGTTGACACATTGTCAAAAGCGTCAGTTAGATGACGCCTTGGGATGAGAATGGGCTGAAAATACCGTAAAAAGTGTAATATTGTAAAATATCTGTTTTATATTTGAATCTACACTGAACAAAATTATAAACGCAACATTTTTGTTTTTGCCCCCATTTTTCATGAGCTGAACTCGGAGATCTAAGACTTTTTCTATGTACACAAAAGGCCGATTTCTCTCAAATATTGTTCACAAATCTTTCTAAATCTTTGTTAGTTAGTGAGCACTTCTCCTTTGCCGAGATAATCCATCCACCTCACAGGTGTGGCATATCAAGATGCTGATTAGACAGCTTGATTATTGCACAGGTGTGCCTTAGGCTGGCCACAATAAAAGGCCACTCTAAAATGTGCTCTAAAATTTCGGGGGGTCCAAAAACCAGTCAGTATCTGGTGTGACCACCATTTGCCTCACGCAGTGCAACACATCTCCTTTTCATAGAGTTGATCAGGTTGTTGATTGCGGCCTGTGGAATGTTGGTCCACTCCTCCAGGACCTGGAACACGCTGTCATATATGCCTATCCAGAGCATCCCAAACATGCTCAATGGGTGACATGTCCGGTGAGTATGCTGGCCATGCAAGAACTGGGATGTTTTCAGCTTCCAGGAATTGTGTACAGATCCTTGCAACATGGGGCCGTGCATTATCATGCTGCAACATGAGGTGATGGTCGTGGATGAATGGCACAACAATGGGCCTCAGAATCTCATCACAGTATCGCGGCGTATTCAAAATGCCATCAATAAAATGCACCCGTGTTCATTGTCCATAACATACGCCTGCCCTTACCGTAACCCCACCGCCACCATGGGCCACTAAATCCACAACGTTAACATCAGCAAACCGCTCACCCACACGATGCCATAACACGCTGTCTGCCATCTGCCCTGTACAGTGAAAACTGGGATTCATCCGTGAAGAGAACACCTCTCCAAAGTGCCAGACGCCATCGAATGTGAGCATTTACCCACTCAAGTCGGTTACGACGACGAACTGCAGTCAGGTCGAGACCCCAATGAGGACGACGAGCATGCAGATGAGCTTCCCTGAGACGGTTTCTGACAGTTTGTGCAGAAAGTCTTTGGTTATGCAAACCAATTGTTGCAGCAGCTGTTCGGGTTGCTGGTCTCAGACGATCTTGGAGGTGAAGATGCTGGATGTGGAGGTCCTGGACTGGTGTGGTTACACGTGATCTGCGGTTGTGAGACCGGTTGGATGAACTGCCAAATTCTCTGAAACGCCTTTGGAGACGGCTTATGGTAGAGAAATGAACATTCAATTCACGGGCAACAGCTCTGGTGGACATTCCTGCAGTCAGCATGCCAATTGCACTCTCCCTCAAAACTTGCGACATCTGTGGCATTGTGCTGTGTGATAAAACTGCACATTTTAGAGTGGCCTTTTATTGTGGCCAGCCTAAGGCACACCTGTGCAATAATCATGCTGTCTAATCAGCATCTTGGTGGATGGATTATCTTGGCAAAGGAGAAGTGCTCACTAACACAGATTTAGACAGATTTGTGAACAATATTTGAGAGAATTAGGCCTTTTGTGTACATAGAAAAAGTCTTAGATCTTTGAGTTCAGCTCATGAAAAATGGGGGCAAAATCAAAAGTGTTGCATTTATAATTTTGTTCATTGTAGTTTAAAATGTAATTTATTCCTGTAATGGCAAAGCTGAATTTCAGAAGCCATTACGCCAGTCTTCAGTGTCTGATGATCCTTCAGAAATCATTCTATGCTGATTTGGTGCTCAAGAAACATTTCTTATTATTATCAATGTTGAAAACAGTTGTGCTGCTTAATATTTTTGTGGAAACTGATTTTTTTAGAGGATTATTTGATGAATCGAAAGTTCAAAAGAACAGCATTTATTTTAAATACAATATTTTTATAACAATGTGATGGTCATTCTGTATTTTTTCTTCTTCTTTTCTTTTTTTTTTTTTACAAAAACTTACTGACCACTAAACCTTTTAATGTAAGTGTATGTTAGCAGCATCATGATGTGTCAGTGTCCATCTCTCTGTGAAACTTGTGATGCATAATAGCCTATTTTCGTTTTGGTGGATTATCATGAGGAATATTCATGTGACGGCTTAAAGTAAACAATGTAATTTTTTGCAGTTTCTTCAGAGGATTTATTTTGCACCCTGGCAACACACATTAGATAGATAGATAGATAGATAGATAGATAGATAGATAGATAGATAGATAGATAGATAGATAGATAGATAGATAGATAGATAGATAGATAGATAGATAGATAGATAGATTCTCATTCAACTTGTTGTTATTTTTTAATATTTGAGATATTTTTTTTTTAATCTGCCACTGTTTCTTGTTCCCAGGGCCTTCCCCAGACACAGTGATGGAGAGGATCCATCAGGTCAGTCGCACACTAGAGGAATACGCCATCTGCCCTGACCTCCACATCGACCTGTCCCGCCTTGGCCGTCAAGACTTTGACTTGGAGAACAAGTTCAAGCCCTTCAGAGGTGAGTGGTATGAACTTATTCTAGTGTTTTCATTTACTTTTATCACAAACTTCAGGTTTACACTCATGTACTGAACATAAACATGTTCTTTCTCTGTTTTCCAGTTGAGATTGTGGATTCAGTCGAGATCTATCTAAACATGCTGCGGGGAATTTTTGACTTTGGTGGCATCAAGAGCTTGCTGACAGGTCAAAACCAGCTGAAGATACGAATAGATGCAATGAATGGAGGTAAACTCTTGTGGACAGTTGCAAATACCTATATGCAGATTTATATCTGTATGCACTGTAGAGTAAATCTTCATGTCGTCTGTTTCAGTTATGGGACCATATGTCAGAAAAATCCTATGTGATGAGCTCGGGGCTCCAGCTAATTCTGCTGTTAACTGTGTCCCTCTGGAGGACTTTGGAGGCCAACACCCAAACCCTAACCCTGCTTTCGCTGCGTCTCTGGTGGACTCTATGAAGGGGGGAGAGTTTGGCTTTGGGGCTGCTTTTGATGCAGATGGGGTGCTTATCTCTTATCATCTGACAATCATTTACAAATCACTTACAAATTACACAAACAGAAAAAATATGTAAAAACGTCATAAGAATAATAATCAAGAAAAGAGCAAAAGAATCAAGGCTGTTGAACAAAATAATTGCTGGATTATTTCCTGCATCTTTGTCAGGGTCTTGTTTTGATTGCAGTTCTTTACTAATATCTATCTGTTTTTTTTGTTTGTTTTTTAACCAAGATAATATTTATCTTGTTTATCTTTATTTATTTTATCTTCTTTTTTTTATTAATTTTTTTGTTGTTGTTGCTATCTCTATTTCTAAATATTGCAAACAAGTGAGAAACAGGGAATGCTGTTCATACTATTGAGAAAAATGCTTATACACTACTGTTCAAAAGATTCGGGTTGGTAAGAATGATTTAATGTTTTTGAAAGAAGTCTCTTATGCTCACCAAGGCTATTATCAATGTTGAAAAAAGGTGTACTGGTAATATTTTTGTCGAAACTAGTACTGTCAAATCAATTAATCGCAATTAAATCGCAATAAAAAAGTTTTTGTTTACATAATATATGTGTGTGTGTATATATATATATATATACACTCACCGGCCACTTTATTAGGTACCCCATGCTAGTAATGGGTTGGACCCCCTTTTGCCTTCAGAACTGCCTCAATTCTTCGTGGCATAGATTCAACAAGGTGCTGGAAGCATTCCTCAGGGAGTTTGGTCCATATTGACATGATGGCATCACACAGTTGCCGCAGATTTGTCGGCTGCACATCCATGATGCGAATCTCCCGTTCCACCACATCCCAAAGATGCTCTATTGGGTTGAGATCTGGTGACTGTGGAGGCCATTTTAGTACAGTGAACTCATTGTCATGTTCAAGAAACCAATTTGAAATGATTAGAGCTTTGTGACATGGTGGAAGTAGCCATCAGAGGATGGGTACATGGTGGCCATAAAGGGATGGACATGGTCAGAAACAATGCTCAGGTAGGCCGTGGCATTTAAACGATGCCCAATTGGCACTAAGGGGCCTAAAGTGTGCCAGGAAAACATCCCCCACACCATTACACCACCACCAGCAGCCTGCACAGTGGTAACAAGGCATGATGGTTCCATGTTCTCATTCTGTTTACGCCAAATTCTGACTCTAACATCTGAATGTCTCAACAGAAATCGAGACTCATCAGACCAGGCAACATTTTTCCAGTCTTCAACTGTTCAATTTTGGTGAGCTCTTGCAAATTGTAGCCTCTTTTTCCTATTTGTAGTGGAGATGAGTGGTACCCGGTGGAGTCTTCTGCTGTTGTAGCCCATCCGCCTCAAGGTTGTGCGTGTTGTGGCTTCACAAATGCTTTGCTGCATACCTCGGTTGTAACGAGTGGTTATTTCAGTCACTGTTGCCCTTCTATCAGCTCGAACCAGTCTGGCCATTCTCCTCTGACCTCTGGCATCAACAAGGCATTTCCGCCCACAGAACTGCCGCTCACTGGATGTTTTTTCTTTTTCGGACCATTCTCTGTAAACCCTAGAGATGGTTGTGCGTGAAAATCCCAGTAGATTAGCAGTTTCTGAAATACTCAGACCAGCCCTTCTGGCACCAACAATCATGCCACGTTCAAAGTCACTCAAATCAACTTTCTTCCCCATACTGATGCTCGGTTTGAACTGCAGGAGATTGTCTTGACCATGTCTACATGCCTAAATGCACTGAGTTGCCGCCATGTGATTGGCTGCTTAGAAATTAAGTGTTAACGAGCAGTTGGACAGGTGTACCTAATAAAGTGGCCGGTGAGTGTATGTGTGTGTGTGTGTGTATACACATTTGTTTAAAATATTATGTAAACTAAAACTTTTATGTTAGATGCGATTAATCGCGATTAATCGAATTTGGCAGCACTAGTCGAACCCATGATCGAACAGCATTTATTTGAAATATATATATTTTTATTAACAATGTACAAGTCTTTACTGGGAATTTTGATCATTTTAATGCACCCTTGCTCAATAAAATAATGAATTTCTTTTAAACAAATCTTACTGTCCCCAAACTTTTAAATGTATGTATTCTTCATCATTTTCAAATGATACAGCAGCTGGTTATTTACTACACCAGATCAGTGAACAAGAAATTAATATCAAGTAACCTATACATTTTAGATAAAAAAATAAGATGTTTCTTAGGACAGAGCTAACTGTTGTATAATGTTGGCTATGTTTGTCTTATGTACAGGATCGTTACATGATTATGGGTCAAGATGGGTTCTTTGTGAGCCCGTCAGATTCACTGGCAGTGATGGCAGCAAACCTCTCCTGCATCCCTTACTTCAGTCAGAGAGGAATCAGAGGTTTTGCCCGCAGTATGCCAACCAGCACAGCCATCGACAGGTAAGAAAACCTTGCTAATTTACAGATTGTGAAAAATAAACCTGTTTTTTTTATCAAAAAGCACATTCACAGAAATGTAGGTGTTAAATGATAGGACTCGGACTCCTGTAACATGCTCTCATATGATACTCCTGAAATGCCATTATTCACAGACATGCTGCAGACTAATGAAATTAAACAAGTCAACACCAAAGGTTGATAGGAATGTACTACTAAACCTTCAAAAATTCAGCGAAACTATTATGCAGAATCTTGAATATTAACGATGTACTTAAATATTAATTACAAACCGATTTGCTTGCACTTGTATTCAGTGAAACAAAGAAACTGGTTGGTTCTACTTAGTTTTAAAATCATTTCCACACGGCTTGCTTCCATTTCTTTTCTTGACTTTCACATTTGTTTGTCAAATTAAGAGACAGTGACATTATCCCTTAATATACTGCAGGAGTTCAGAGCTGTTTAAAGAAAAGCCAGTCAACACTCAAAATAATTGATAAGCTGATGATCAGGAAGGAAATCATCCATCAGGATCTTTCCACTATCTCAGTTACTCTTCTTGTGCAAGACACTAAATGGTAAAAGCATTAGTGATGGGGCCAGAGGTTACAGTGTGGAGACTCACTCCCTAAGAATAACAGTGTTAGCTCAACCCTCCGCTCCTGCAGACTAAAAATAATCATGCTAAAGACCTGTCTGCTTTGAGACAGGATCTTGTGCTATGAGAAATTAATAGCAATTTCATGCATTTAAATGAGATTGTTTAAATGTAAAGGCTTTTAATAAAAAGATTCCTATATTTGTAGCTTATTTTGTGGCTCTGTGGCGCTATCAAAACATTTCCCAGTCTGATGCAGCAACAGCTCCATCAATTGTGTCAGTTGGGGGCGGAGTTACCTGTTTTGCTGACCAATGGGGAACAGGGAGTGTTCAGAAAACCTGCCTGAATACAATTCTTAATTTTTTCAGTTCTGTTTGACATTTAACATACACACTTTAGCTTTCAAATGTGTTTTAAAAATAACAAAAAACTGACAAACCTAAACCGTCTTTACTGGTCCACTTCTCTTCTATGAATTCAATTAGCAACTTTCGGCAATAACGTGAACCTGATTGAAATGAAATTGCCTTATTAAATGGATAGTTCGCTCAAAAATTACAATTCTGTCATCATTTACTCACCCTCATGTTGTGACTCAAAAAAGAAATGTGTCAGCGTTTTTTTTATTTTCTTGTCCATACAATGGAATTCAATGGTAACCTTAATGGTTTATTACCAACATTCTTCAAAATATATTCTATTGTGTTTCACAGAAGAAAGAAAGACATGCAGGTTTGGAATGACATAAGGATGAGTAAATGATGGGTGAACTATCTCTGTAATGCTGGCAGTCAAATAGGAAGTGATGTTATTTAGTGCTACCCAATCAGTCATTAAAAACAGCCAGAAAGTGCTTATTGTGTCATAACACCAGAATTAAGTGTGATTTCCTCCCATCAATATTGTTTTTGTTCTGTGACTCATTATTCACTTCCTGGAGGCTTTGCAAGGTTGATTCAATGTTAGTAACACACTGTAAATGAGACTTTAACTACTGGTGTGGCTAAGATGAAGAAAGAGAGGTTGAGTCTACATTTGGCCTGAGATTGTAGCTTGTTATAAAGTAAGCCATATAGCTAAGCAGAGTGTCATATTTTCCATTCTGTAAATGATAGTTAAGTAAGAATGGGTGCTCCCAGCCTAGAGACAGTTCTATTCTCTCTTACATTGAAGTCACCCTCCAAATTTGAGCTGTTGCCTTCCAGGCTAAAGGTGCGGTCACTTCATGTTACATTCACTTCGATTTGATCGCATGTGAGCGTGGCAGCATGGAAACGGCAGGATTTATGTAATAGTTTTGTTTTTTGCTGCATACTAAAGTTCAAGTTTGGTGCACCCGGTCGCAGATAAGTGGTGGATAATTGATGGATGGATGGATGGATGATCTGCAAATTTGTATGGCAAAAACTTCTGACCAACAATGGAGTAGTCTTTGACTTTTTGGCTCAATAAAAATAATACACACAGTATACTTCAAAGCTGAGTTTTCGTCTTTATACCGACATCTAATTTTATGGATGTAGCATTGCGGAAAAAAATTATGTTTTCATTTGCGATGCCATTGTAGAAATGTGTCATGTACTTGATAAAAATCGTTTGAAAATTACAAACCAATCAGTAATGTTTTGCCATTTATGCCATCACCATATCATTCTACAGGAATGGTGTTGTAACAGTATACAAATGATTATAAATAATAAATATATAAATTTAGAAATTGAATTGTAAACTGAATGTAAATATCAAATTAAATAAATAAAATGCATATATTTGTATTATATTTGATTATAATTAATACATTTTAATTATTTTATTTTTATGTTGGAGCCAGTAAAAATGTTGGAAGGACAACTAAATGGCCTGATTGGCAAGCAGCAAAAATATGCAATGTTCAGTTGAGCCCTGTTTTATTAGGCAACTGATTTGACTGGAGTCTTCATCTCTTCATCATTAACAACTGTTAATAAGATAAACATACTTTTTAAATGTTCACACCATACATTTTAATTCTCAACACCACTAGGAAAGAGAGTCAGGTCAGAAAATGAACTGACTTTATTTAAAAGACATTTTTATATTGTGAATCAGATTTTATAGTGCTGGATCTGGTGATAGAGAATAACTGTATTCTCTTTTCATGAATCTGTATCATTCTGTCCAACTAATCTGAACTGTTGTTTCTGAGGCATGCATGTCCGCCTGGGGTGCGAGTTGTTGGAGCAAAGCGTCTCTGCTGCTGTAAACCTTTTTAGGCGACAAGTGAGCTCTAGGCTGTGGCTGTGTTTATACTATGGACCTCTCAGGAGTGTGTGTTTGTTAAGTGGCAGTGGAGATAATCTACTGGAGCATGTGTGTGCTGTAGGTCTGGTGTGTGATTGCAGCTCTTTATATGTGCACATATGACTGTGTTTAAGGATGGAAGGATGGAAAGGAAACATCTGCCGTGTTCCCTACACGTGGGAAGGGGAAGAGAGAATGTGTGCTATCAATGTGACCATGCACTGAGGATGAACTGCTGAAATATGGGGAAAAAAATTACACATGAGAAAATACAGTCGAATTGTAACTGCAGTCCAGTGTGTTTGCTGTAAGTAACCATATTTTAAACCCATTTAATGATATAAATACATCTGTATATAACATCCTGGGACTTTTCACTGTTTGTATCACTCCGCTTCCCTGTGTTTGCACATTCATACATGTCAGTCTGTGCATTAGTGGTGGGGATTTTAAGTGAATCTTTCTGCAGGCAATCGTTAAATTAGTAGGTGGTGAAAAGGGACTGTTTTTAAGAGTGAGTCGTTGAGTAATTCACTGAACTAATTTGTTCAACAGCTTTGATGCATTCAGGAACAAAATAAGCAACTCTCTTTATGAATGAATCATTGAATAATTCACTGAACCGATTTGTTCAACAACACTGATTTATTCCGGAGTGAAATAAGCGACTCTCTTTATAAGTCATTGAATTATTCACTTAACCGATTTGTTCAACAACAACAAAACACTAGTCAGGGTAGTAAAGTGACTTGTGAATTGTTTCAGGGGGGTTTCCCTTTTTGGCACAGTACATTTTTTTGCAATTCGATTTAGTAATACTAGTGATGGAAAAATTACATCATTTATATAAAATTATATGAAACTTTGAACTGTACTATGCATAAACAGTTCATGATTTGTATAAGCTTAAAAATGAAGCATTCTTTGAGTATTTGTTTTTTTTAACTCTTTTGGTCATTGTCGTATAAGGTGGTAAAGTCCTTAAACCATTTGTTTATATTGTAATAAAGCAATTTCAAGCATTATTGGTATTAGAAGTTTTACTTTCAAAAATATTTTAATATACCTTGGAGTAAGGAATGGAAATCATTTTAGTACAACTTAATTAAACTGCCTGTCAACTCATGCTAACATTATGCTAGTTGATAATTTAGTTGTATTGCCAGATTGAGGTTAGGAACAGCTGCCGATTTTAAAACTCAGCTGAGCATGTTATTTTCCCTTTTTTTCATTCTTTTATAGACAGAATTGGTAAAAATCCAGTCACACCCTCATGAACACATATGCATGCAACATATTTCCGATGCAAAGTTAGAGATAGCGCTGCTTGTGTTGGCCACAAATATGAGAATAAATCATCGAAAACAAGTCAACAGGTCAAAGATTCCGATTTGCTGTCCATGTGCCAGGCTTTCCATTCTACTCCATGTCCCTCGAGTCAATAATATTTGTTTTCCCATATTTAGTAATTCCACCCATGAGTAAACAGCTGCATCCTAGCTCTCCTCATTTACATCGGTTCCCTGTCATCTGTCCCTTCATCTGATGGGATCTCAGCAACTCATTACCCATAATGCTAGATTGCAGTGCCTGAAAATAGTTATGACTCTAGCCATTATCCAAGATCAACAAACAGAGAAGGAGACTTGTAATTGCGTTCCTCCTCGTGTTTTCGATCTATTTCATTTTCATAGTCATGAATGATTACAGCTCCCAAATAGAAAACTTGCTGTCTGTAGTATGACACTATTTATTCAAAGGTAGGCCTATATTTTCAGTTTCTGTGACGGCTCGCAGGAGTTTGACAGTATAAGCAAGTTAAACAGGTACACCGATGATTAAAGTGCTGTTTGCTCCTCCAGGCACATGGCTGAATCTCAAAATAAATGTCAGCCAAAATGTCAGCATGGTTTCGTTCTGCTTTTTGCCTTATAAAGACACTGAATTGAGCAGACGAAATATGCAGTTTGACTTTGATTAATGAATCACTCCAAAGGACAGATACTAAATGTTCTACCACCAGTGAATTTGTAGAAAGCTGAATGGCGATTACTTTGCTCATGAGTATATCAAATGATCATTACCTCGACATCCATCTTCTTTTAGTCTATCATTTACTTGTATTATTTAAAAATATATAATACTGTATTATTAGGTTTCCTGAAATATGATCCATGTGGTAATATGACAAAATGTACCTCTAAAAAAAATGACTTAATCTGGCAATCTTACATAAATTAGGTTACACCAACAAAAGAATAATCAAAAGTCAGGTCAAATACAAACTGTTCCCGAACAATGGCACATTTTCACTTTTTATAGTGTAAAGGCCCATTCACACAAACGACGATAACTATAAAGATATAGTTTAAAAAACATTCTAAATAAAAAGAAATAGCAGAGTCCGATAATTTAAAGAGGAATCTTATCATTGGAATCACTTTCAGAACAATTCTTTTCCAGCTGATGAATGATAGAAACATTGACAGAATCCAAATCAGAATCCATCTTGCTTTAAAGAGCTTGATCATTTAAAGTGGAAGATGACATAACTGAAGTGCACACTTATTATATTATTGTCCGCTGGTGTGGACGCTAATATATTTATCGTGATACTTATCTTTATAGTTGACGTTCTTGGTGTGTAAAGGCCTTTACATTCCAGTGCCATATAGCTATAGTAACTGCAACATTTTTAAGATACTTTGATAAAGAAATGATGCTGTTAGCCAGTTTGATACAGTCCTTCTTTCAGATTTGATCTTGTCCGAATAATCTCTGAGTAGGATTGCACTGGACTACTCATGCTTCCTGTTTGTTTGCAGGGTTGCTAAGGCTATGAAGGTGGCGCTTTATGAAACTCCCACAGGCTGGAGATTCTTTGGAAACCTGATGGATTCTGGGAGGTGTTCGTTCTGTGGAGAGGAGAGCTTTGGAACAGGTGGGTGCCATCAGAGTCCATGCACTTCTCTAAGAGGATATAAAAGCCCTTCTCCAGCTTTTAGAGTTGAAAACTCATCATGAATGTTTTGACATTATTTACTTCTTATGTTGTTCCAAACCCCTATAATGATATTTCCCTGTGAAACACAAAAGAAAGCATGTTTAAACAATCATTTTATGTTATTGACATTTTTGGAGGTAGCTTTTTGTCAGTAAATGCTTTCTGACATTTTGACCACATCCAAAATGTAGATCTTTATCAGCGTTGCGCTATAAAAGTAAGACAGGCTGGTGAATCATCTGAAACAGTGAGAAAGTGAGAGTGGTCTCTGCTGGCAAAAGCAAACTACTCCTCCTCTGCTTTTCTCACAAAAGCACACAGGGTGGGGGGCACAGAAGGAGGAGGTAAAGGAGTGGAAGAAAAAGGGATTTACTGGATTGTAATGGTTTTAGTTCTCTAGTCCTCTCATGTCATATAACACGTCACACAGTGCTTGAACAACCAGACGTGTTCCTGCTTAATAAAGGCGTTTCTTCAATGACAGGCACTTTTTTTTCATGTTTTTTCATGTTTGATTTTATTAAAAGTAACAAAAAACTAACAGCTAACTAATAGCAACTAACTTTTTACCCCTTTTTCTTATGTAAAGGTGACATTGAAACTGCATTTGGAAATGTTTTAACGTGCATTTATATTTGCTTATTTTTTTATTATCCAGATCTTTTTACAAAGCATCTACATGGTGTTCAAATGACTTATCTATAGATTATATTTTTTCCCCTTAACAATGCCCCCTTAAAATATGAAAAATTCCCATAATTTTTATTTTAAAACTATGATAATACAACCATTTTTGCTTCTTTTCAAATTGCTTTTATTTAGATTGTAGTTTTTTCAGAACCATATGTTCAGTATTCAAATGTGAAAATTTGTCATAAAAATATTTAAAAACTATTTAGATAAAAAAAAAAATCATCGTTTTTTTTTTTTTTTTTGTGGGTGCCAAGGAGATAGCGAAGAGCTTAAATATGAGATATGATGTGTAAAGAAAAAATAAGGTAAGATTACTGTTGGCCATTTAATACAAAGGTCCAAAATCATAATTTCCACCCCAGAATGTTATCAAACAATTTTTTGTAGAAATGACATTTGCTGGTTCAGAAAAATAGCAAACATTTCAGTGATATATACAGTATGTACTGTATATGCACAATTAAGGGATAGTTCACCCCAAACTTAAGTCATTTACTCACCCTCATATAATTTTAAACCCCTTGTTTTATTTTTCACAGTTTTTTAAATATTTTTTTTGGTTATTATTTAATTACCTCTTTAATTCCACTTGGCAAAACTGCCTATAGCTGTAGAAATTATGTGAATATGTGAAGGTGAGCCCTGTCTGCTATTGAATGGTTGTGTTTTGGTTGGCAGCTGAATGTGGAATAAGCAACTGGCGCTGAATGATGTTGCTGGGCAGACAGACGCTTGGCCCTGGGGGCGGCAGGGTCAATCTGTAAAGCCTCTGGGGTTTTACACCGTCACGAAGACCTTGAGTGAGACACGAGGCATTGTCTGTAGGTGTCAAAAAAGCAGCCCGCTCATTATTCACCATGTTCTGACTTTGCTGCGTGATTGTAGTGCTGTCATGGGTCACTTGTCAGTTGAATATTCACTAAACACTCTCTACTATCCTAGACATGCATCATCATGGTGAGGCAGATACTGTATCTGGTACAAATTGAGTGTGTTTATGGAATATTGGCATTAAGATAGTTTCCCTTCTGGCTGTGAACCAGGTCGTTTCTGCGTCATGCTTATTGTTTTGTGAGCTGAGGGAAAGTTAACAGATAATAGTCGGAAAAGCTGATAGATGTTGAAATCTGCTTTTTGAAATGAACTTTATTGTGTTTTATTGATTTGAAGGGTCAAAACTAATTATACAACAATGTTACATTAGCTTACAAGTGTCTTTGGCTGTTGATGTGATATGCGGTAGGCCTGAGCATTTTTTAGTACTTCAGCATTAGTCACGCACAGAGAACAGCTGTCGGATACACTTCTTCTGACATATGATTACATGAAATAAACCAGATCAAAGAAAAAAAGTCATAGAGAAGATGTCAAGCAGATGAAGAGTTGACCAGGGGAGTGAGGGCTTTCATTTTGTCATTATAATCTCTTGATTTAAATCAATCTCAGTGTAACCTCTCCGGTTCTACTCGCACCGTGACAAGCGGGATTCGAACCAGTGTTTGCAGCATGTGAGGCGGGTGCACTAACTGTCACATGTATGTTCTGTTTGGCTTTAGTTCTTGTCCCTGTGTTTTGGTTTGACCTAGGCTGTGTCGGAAATCACCCCCTATGCCCTTAAATAAGTCACTATTTGAGGGGACAGGCATTTGTAGTGGTGTCCGAAACCATAGTGGTTGTTATCGAGTGCACTCATACTCATTCAATCCCACAATGCACTGCAATTACGAATGTATAACTGACGTACACCCAACAGCTAGAAATCACCCATAATGCGTCGCGCCAAATGAATTCCTGCAGCAGAATCATCCATCCATTTTCCAAACCGCTGGTTCAAAGTGGATCCAGCATAATATCATAGGTATAAATTCCTTTTTAATTGATTATTAAATTGTTTAATTAAGGTTTATACATGCTAGTTTCCATAGTTGCCAGTTTGCTATGTTTCAAATGATTGTTCAACAGCAAGCACAAACTGTGCAAAAACGACAGCCCTTCTGGAGTTGTGCCGAATTCTGACCCCTGCCTGATTATAACCCCCTTATATTAGGAGTGGGGTTAGAATTAGGCAATTAGGTACTGACTTCAACTAGGGGGTACTAATTTGGCAGGGAGACGAAATTCAGCACAACACCGACGCACTCAGTGTCCGAATTCACTCACTCATTTTTATTCACTCCTTCAAGTGGACTTGGCCTATACTAGTGGACTAATGTGGGGAATAGTGAATGAGGGTATAGGGGGGTATTTAAAACACAGCTCTAGTTTTCTTTGATCTGTTTTCCTGTCACTTGTTTGTTACTATG